AGGAAGGAAGGGAGGGAGGAAGGAAGGAAGGAAGGAAGGAAGGAGGACGGAAGGAAAGGGGGAAGGAGGAAGGAAGGACGGAAGGAAGGAAGGGGAGGAAGGAAGGAAGGAAGTGAAGGGAAGGAAGGGAGGAAGGAAGGAAGGAAGGAAGGAAGGGAGGAAGGAAGAAGGACGGAAGGAAGGAAGGAAGGAAGGGAGGACGGAAAGGGAAGGAAGGAAGGAAGGAAGGAAGGAAGGAGGGAGGAAGGAAGAAGGAAGGAAGGAAGGAAGGAAGGAAAGGGAAGGAAGGATGGAAGGAAGGAAGGAAGGAAGGAAGGGAGTAAGGAAGGAAGGAAGGAAGGAAGGAAAGGAAGGAAGGAAGAGAGGGAGGAAGGAAGGAAAGGAAGGAAGGATGGAAGGGGTGGAAGGAAGGATGGAAGGAAGGAAGGAAGGAAGGAAGAAGGAAAGGAAGGGAGGAAGGAAGGAAAGGCAGGAAGGAAGGACGGAAGGGATGGAAGGACGGAAGGAAGGTAGGAAGGAAGGAAGGAAGGAAGGGAGGGAAGGAAGGAAGGAAGGAAGGAAGGGAAGAAGGAAGGATGGAAGGGAGGAAGGAAGGAAGGAAGGAGGGAAGGAAGGAGGAAGGATGGTAAGGAAGGAAGGAAGGGTGGAAGGAAAGGAAAAAGGGAAGGAAGGAGGGAAGGAAGGAAAGGAAGGAAGGGAAGGAAGCAAGGGAGGAAGGAAAGGAAGGAAGGAGGAAGGAAGGAAGGAAGGAAGGAAGGGAAGGGCGGAAGGGAAGGAAGCAGAAGGAAGGAAGGAAAGGAGGGAAGGAAGATATGAAGGAAGGAAGGAAGGAAGGAAGGAAGGGAGGAAGGAAGGAAGGAAGGAAGGAACGGAAGGGGAAAGGAAGGGAGGAAGGAATGAAGGGAAGGAAGGAAGGAGGAGGAGGAAGGGAAGGGAGGAAGGAAGGAAGGAAGGAAGGACGGAAGGAAGGGTGAAGGAAGGAAGGAAAGGAAGGAAGGAAGGAAGGAAGGAAGGGAGGGAAGGAAGGCAGGAAGGAAGGAAGGAAGGAAGGGAGGACGGAAAGGAAGGACGGAAGGAAGGGAAGAAAGGAAGGAAGGAAGGAAGGAAGGAAGGAGGAAGGGAGGGGAGAAAGAAGAAGCACTCTACAATACCACACAATACAGTATTATAAATCACTGAAAGGTAAAATAAATCAGACTGAAATTTTTTTATTGATTTTAGCAAAAATTGATACATCCGCAGTGTGTTGTTGTGTTATTCCACCTGATAGTTTATTGTGGTACTACAAGAAAGTACCTGTGGTAAGTAGCAGGATAGAGAGGGTCACTGCTAGTAAGTACTTGTAAGCACCTCTGGACAGTACCTGTGTTAAGTATCTGGCCGTGTAGTGAAGGTCACTGCTAGTAAGTACCTCTGGACAGTACCTGTGTTAAGTATCTAACCCGTTACTCCTGGAGAAGGTAATAGTTGCTCCTGGAGAAGGTAACCGTTACTCCTGCAGAAGAAACCGTTACTCCTGGAGAAGGTAACCGTTACTCCTGGGAAGGTAACCGTTAACTCCTGAGAGGTAACGTTATCTGGAGAAGGTAACCGTTACTCCTGGAGAAGGTAACCGTTACTCCTGGAGAAGGTAACCGTTACTCCTGGAGAAGGTAACCGTTACTCCTGGAAGAAGGTAACGTTACACTCCTGGAGAGAAGGGAACCCTTGCCTGCAGGAGGTCAGGTTAGCTTGACGGTCGATGAATGACTGGGACTGATGCCAGATTTCATCATATCCCATTATTAAAATGGGTTACACCGCAGCGAGCGGGTACCCTGTTCGGCATGATGGGTATCTCTCTGCATGATGAGGTACCCTATTTAGGCATGAATGGGGTACCCTATTCTGCATGATGAGGCGTAACCTATTCTGCATGATGGGGGTACCTATTCTGATGATGGGGTACCCAATTCCGCATGATGGGGTACCTATTCTGCCTGATTGTTCGGTTACCCAATCTGATGATGGGGTACCTATTCAGCATTGATGGGGTACCAATTCGCATGATGGTATTGGTACCCTATTCTGTATGATGGGGTACCAATTCTGCATGATGGCGCACCTTATTCTGCATGATTGGGTACCATTCTGCATGTGGGGAACCTATTCTGCATGATGGGTACCCCATTCCGCATGATGGGATATCTATTCTGGCATGATGGGTACCCCAAATCTGCAAGATGGGGTAGCTATTTCTGCATGATTGGGTCCCAATTCTGCATGATGGGGTACCCTTAATTTGCATGATGGGGTAACCCAATTCTGCATGATGGGGTACCCTATTCTGCATGGTGGGTTACCAGTTCTGACATGATGGGGTATCTATTCTGCTTGATTGGGGTACCCTATTCTGCATGATGGGGTACCCTATTCTGCATGATGGGGTACCCAATTCTGCATGATGGGGTACGCTATTCTGCATGATTGGGTACTCAATTCTGCATGATGGGGTACCCTATTCTGCATGATGGGGTACTCAATTCTGCATGATGGGGTACCCTATTCTGCATGATGGGGTACCCAGTTCTGCATGATGGGGTATCCTATTTCTGCATGATGTGGGACCCTATTTGATGATGGGGGGGTACCCTATTCTGCATGATGAGGTGCCCTATTCTGCATGATGGGGTACCCTATTCTGCATGATGGGGTACCCTATTCTGCATGATGGGGTACCCTATTCTGCATGATGGGGTACAATTCCGCATGATTGGTGGTACCTTATTTATGCATGATGGGGTACCCTATTCTGCATGACTGGGGGTACCCTATTCTGCTGGATTGGGTACCCAATTCTGCATGATGGGGTACCCTATTCTGCATGATGGGGTCCCCAATTCTGCATGATGGGGTACCCTATTCTGCATGATGGGGTACCCAATTCTGCATGATGGGGTACCCTATTCTGCATGGTGGGGTACCCAATTCTGCATGGTGGGGTACCCAGTTCTGCATGATGGGGTACCCTATTCTGCATGGTGGGTTCCCAGTTCTGCTTGTGGGGTACCCTTTTATCGGCTTGGTGGGGATACCCAGTTCTGCCATGATGGGGTACTATTCTGCATGGTGGTCGGTTACCAGTTCGCAGATGGGGTGCCCTATTCTGTATGATGGGGTAACCTATTCTGATTCAGTAGTTGTCAGCCTGAGGTGGTAGACTTCAGTAAGTCTTTAAGAATATCGCCAACGTAAAGTTGACGATATTCAACTTGAAGTTGGCGCAGTAGGCCCTGAGTTATCACTTCTTACAGACATAATATACAAACCAGACGGTTGCAGCTACAGGAGTCCCAACTCAGGGCCTCCTACAAGTGTAACAACCAGTATTTAGTTCCAGCTCGGTGGGGATTCCCTTTAAACTCTCTGGATGACTCTTTGGATGACTGACTCTCTGGATGACTGACTCTCTGGATGACTCACTGGATGACTCCTTGGATGACTGACTCTCTGGATGACTGACTCTCTGGATGACTCACTGGATGACTCCTTGGATGACTGACTCTCTGGATGACTGACTCTCTGGATGACTCCCTGGATGACTCCTTGGATGACTGACTCTCTGGATGACTCCTTGGATGGCTGACTCTCTGGATGACTCCTTGGATGGCTGACTCTCTGGATGACTCCTTGGATGGCTGACTCTCTGGATGACTCCCTGGATGGCTGACTCTCTGGATGACTCCCTGGATGGCTGACTCTCTGGATGACTCCCTGGATGGCTGACTCTCTGGATGACTCCCTGGATGGCTGACTCTCTGGATGACTCCCTAGAGAGTAGGAAAACATGACAGTAGGAAAAGTATTGAAGATAATAGTCAGGAATAAGATAATAAGATATTACAACAAAGATAAGGAAGAATTATCAACAAAAACGAGCCACAAATATTACCTGGAAAACACTGCCTCAAAAGGTTTATCTTATAAAATATATATATATATATATTATATATATAATATATATATATATATATATATATATATATATATATAAATATATTAATAATGTGTACCTGAGACATAGTTCTCAGATTAAAAATAATGACAGATCAGATGATAACAATCTGTAATAAAATAGGATCTTTATTGAACAAAGTTAATAAAAGAAATTTTTTCTGGCAAATTTTCAGCTCTTACTTAAAAATACTGTATGAACTTTATACAAAAAAATATTAAAATGTGTAAAGATTAATCAATTATATATTATTATATATATATATATATATATATATATATATATTATCCTTATATATATATAAATAAATACTATATATATATAAATATATATATATATATATATATATATATATAACACTGAGAGTTCTATTATAAAACTGATAGTGTCACTTGTATCTCATGATGGAGGTTGTGCGGACTTACACAAGAATAATATTAACAATAATAATAATATTATAATAATAATAATAATACTAATTTAATAATAATACTAATAATAATAATAATAAATGTATTAATGCTTGTGATCCATGGTATTATCTGTATATGTTGTTTAGTAAGTTTAATATGGATTTATTATGTCACCCTTACCCATCTTGTGGGCGGTGTCAAAGATACAGGGTACCATAACGGTGTCCAGGGCTGGGCCTCAAAGTTTCGATAGGCTGAGTAAAGTTACATAAGGTATTGAATTCACAATTTACAAAGGTAATGAGCTCACAATTTACAAAGGTAATGAACTCCAGGTAGGTCTAGTCACAATCATGACAAGTTACAAAGGTATTTACAGATTACAGAGGTACACAATGGATCTGTATATGTCAAGTAGAAATGCTTACAGGTGTCACATGCTATTGTTTATGTGTGTCACGTAGTATTGTTTACATGTATCACGTGGTATTGTTTACATGTATCACGTGGTATTGTTTACATGTGTCACGTCGGTACATTAGGTTGTTTACATGTGCTCACGTGGTATTGTTTACATGTATCACGTGGTATTGTTTACATGTATCACGTGGTATTGTTTACATATATCACGTGGTATTGTTTACATGTGTCACGTGGTATTGTTATATGTGTCACGTGGTATTGTTTACATGTGTCAGGTGGTATTATTTACATGCTTCACGTGGTATTATTTACACGTGTCACGTTGTATTACACGTGTATCAACATTATCAATCAGCCTGGCATTACTCAAACAGTCATTACTGCCAGCATGTTCTGCCACCTGTCGTCTCTCCTCCAGCCCTCGTCGTCGTCTTCGTCGTCGTCCTCATCGTCAGAGGAAGCAGGAGAAAAATCAGGGATGATGTCCTTGACGAGGAAGCGAAGACGTGTGGCTGTCTGCTCCTGCTGCCTCTTCGTCCTCCTCTCCAGCAGATACTGCCTCCAGCATCTCACTCCACGACGAAGGAGCTTCCTGACGTGGAGGCAAGAATAAGAACATGAGAAAGGAGAAAACTGCACGTAGGCCTATGACCATACTAGGCAAAGTCCTTTCAAACCCAAAACCCACTAACAAAAATATCTCCCAACCATTTTCAATGTGCTTAATGACATAAGCGTCGATTAATTCCCTATTAGTTCTTGTGCAGTCCCTATCAAATCACCCTTTGCACTCGTGTTGTTATGAAAAAAACAAACCCACTATACATAGTGAAGTATGCAAGAGTTTTAACCTCCAAATAACCCTTGTATGCAGAGAGATGTTCCACTCAACCAACTACCCTATTTCTAGACCAGTACTTTCCTATATCCTTTCTAAATCTAAATTTAACTTATCTGAATCTACTAATTCGTCTTCTTTCTTGGAGGGATATACTCAGGATCTTGTTTATATCTTTTTATTTATATACCTGACCAGCCGGGTTGTGGTTCGTACGTCGGTGGGGCGCTGCCCCTCGAAACCTACTCCAGGTATACTCCAGGTATACTCCAGTTATACTCCAGGTATACCCATCTTCCACTTTGAGTGTGTGAAGGCGATGCTAAGACACACAGATGAAGAATCTCATGAAAAGCAAAAAGAAGAGGTGCATAAAGAAGGATGAATAGGATGAAGAACTCTGAAGAGAGGAAGGATAAGGATGAGAAGGAAAAGTAGAAACGTAAACAGAACGGAGATCCAGGAAGAAATAATGAGGGAGGATAATGGGTAGGACAGGAAAGAAAATATGGACGAGGCGGAGAATATAGAAGAAAGGGTAAAGAATGAAGTAGGGGGGGAAGGAGAAATGAAATCTAACGAAAGAAATAAGAATCGTTCAGCTTGCATCCTTGACTTGGACATGTAAAACGTACACTTCCGATAAACGCCACTCGTCAGTCTGTCAGTCACTTCTTAGACAGTCACTTAGTCAATCACTAAGTCAATCCTGTCATTAGTCCATCAACAAGATGACGGTTATACCTTCAAAATAACACAGCTCTATGGCGGCCCTTTCTGGAGTACACAGCACCAGTGTAAAGCCCTCAACTAGTATAAAAAAACTCGAGAAAGCGTGCATCCTGACTAGTGCCTAAGTGGAAAAAATAATAATAATAATAATAATAATAATAATAATAATAATAATAATAATAATAATAATAATAATAATAATAATAATAATAATAATTAAAGTATTCTTGGTGTTATTACAGACGTCCAGTGGAGCCTGGATGACCTCTCAGCAGTCGACGGACTTGACACCTGACACAAACTATATAATTGATGGTTGACCTGTCTGACCTATGGTAGGTCATAAGCATAATTTTAAAATGGTGGAGGGGTAAGCCAGTGGAAGGCCTCGGTCTGATGACCAAAAGCTCCAGCTGTGGGTCATCACATGACTGAGACCCGCGTCAGGAAACACTTGTCCTGTTTCCTGACAAATCTTACCTAACCTAACCTGTGGTAGTGTTGTGTAGCTCGTTGTGTGTCCGCTCGCCGCTGCAGGAGGTGGTCCAGGGCCGCCCACCTCCACTCCCACAGGTACTTCCTCAGAAGGCGCTGACGGTAGTGCTCGGCTCCTCTCCTTACTTGCTCGGCACGAGCTGACACTCGCTACGTGTGAAGGTGAGTAATGTAGTGAAGGTGAGACGTGTAAGGAAGTTTTAGTGAAGGTGAGGCTAACTAAAATACTTAAATAACATCCTCCAAAATACTTCCAGTTCACCATTCATTACAAACAACAAACCATAGGGTAGGAGGAAGCAAAGTAATGATCATGACGCACGAAAATATAAAATAAAAGGAGTACCGTATTTTTTTCGGTTACACATGGGGCTGTCTTCAGTCATGACCTCAGGGGCTCAAATATACAGAAACTGTCTTATCTTGCTTTATTATTGTCACATTTATGAAGTGAATGAAATTTGAACACGGGCTTTGGAAGACCTGAGATTACCAGCCCATTGCACTAAACCCGTGTGGGACACTGACCCTTGTTTATGTTGTAATATCTCCACTGAGTTCCTTTAAGTTGTTCAACAGTGTTTATTACACCTTAAATAGTTCATTATCATTGTAACTTGTTCACCTATCAAGCAACTTGCCCAAGCCTGGACCCTTAGTACCTCTGTAAGCACTGACACCCCAGGCACGCCGCCCACACCATGAGCACTCGCGAGCACAACAGCAGATACTAAACTATTACCAGCCCCCATGTCTATAATACACATGAGTAGCACCACAGAAGCTACACCCTCTCCAGCTGGTAAGAAGCCAGGAGCACCACACATTGCTGAAGCGGGCAAGCCAGACACCGCTCCAGCAGCATGTCCCACCGTAGAGCACCAGCTTCAGCCCAGTGTCTTCGAAATCACTATGAGTCGGTAGTGACCACTCGCACAGCTCATCTGAGCGGGCTGACCACGAGCGAGAGCTAGAAGACCACAGCACAGACAGCCACGCGACGAGCATTTTATACCAGCACCAGCACGCCCGGTTCTGCCTGCTTGCCCCCTCCCTCTCACCACCAGTACCACCAGTAAACGCAGCACCTTCATTCACGCAGCCCCATTCTGCCTCCACTGGCCCACCATACACGCTGCTTCTCACTCCACCTCCCGTTTAGACCAGATGCTTTGCATAAGGCACAGGCAGCTCTCCACTAGCACCTGCAGGCACGGCCAGGATACTGCACACAGCGTTCTCCCCATCTCCTCCAGCCCTAGTTCACGACACAGCACGTAAGTCCACCACCAGCATACGCAATGCACCTTTATCTTCCACTCTGCAGCTTCTCAGCCCTCTGCCCTTCTGAGCAGACGCAGCAGCACCTGGAGGCACTCGACAGTTAGTTGTTAGCAGCTCCGCAGGCACCCAGCATTCGAGCAGAGGACCAAGAACACAAAGCAAACACATCTGCTTTGAACCGCCAGACCAGCAGCACAGCAGCAGCAGCAGCAGCCAGCACCAGCAGCAGCAGCAGCACAGCACAGCAGCAAGCACCAGCAGCCACCAGCACCAGCACCACCAGCACCACCAGCACCACCAGCACCAGCACCAGCAGCACCAGCACCACACCAGCACCACACCAGCACCAGCACCACCAGCACCAGCAGCACCAGCACAGCACCAGCAGCACCAGCACCAGCAGCACCAGCACCAGCAGCACCAGCACCAGCACCCACCAGCACCAGCATGCACCAGCAGCACTAGAAAGCACCAGCAGCAGCAGCACCCCAGCACCAGCACAAGCACCACCCCACCACCAGCACCACCAGCACCAGCACCTGCACCACCAGCACCACCAGCACCACCGCACCAGCACCAGCACCAGCAGCACCAGCACCAGCACCAGCACCAGCACCAGCAGCACCAGCACCAGCAGCACCAGCACCAGCAGCACCAGCAGCACCAGAAAAGCACCAGCACCAGCAGCACCAGCACCAGCACGCACCAGCACCAGAAACCACCAGCAGCACCAGCCAGCACCAGCACCAGCACCCACCAGCACCCACACCAGCAGCAGCACCAGCACCAGCCACCAGCACACCGCACCAGCACCAGCACCAGCAGCACCAGCACACCAGCAGCACCAGCACCAGCAGCACCAGCTCCAGCACCACCAGCCCCAGCACCAGCACCAGCACCAGCCCCACCAGCACCACCAGCACCACCAGCACCAGCACCAACACCAGCACCAGCACCACCAGCACCACCAGCACCACCAGCACCAGCACCACCAGCAACCCACCACCCACAGCACCACCACAGCACCCACCAGCCCCAAAGCAGCACCTGCAACCACAGCACCAGCACCAGCACCACCAGCACCAGCACCAGCACCACCAGCACCACCAGCACCAGCACCACCAGCACCACCAGCACCAACAACAACAACAACAACAACAACAACAACAACAACAACAACAACACACTATATATATTTCAGTTCCTCAGGATACAAGTAATTTATTGTAAGAGAGTCATTAAAGTTGCCTTTCACCTGTCAACTGTTAATATTTACACACAGGTATAGATCCCCGTTGTTTTCATTGTATGTACTCAGAAAGAAATACCACTAATTATAAATTGATCTTTTACAACTGGTTACGATTGTCGGATTTAGTTATAATTGTATATTACATTAACTGCATTTGTGAAGATCATAATAAAAAATATATTTTCCATGAAAACATTACGCTGTCAGAGCCACAAAATCAAACTCATATATACAGTCTGTTAATTAACACTGCTAGGCCTGAAAAAAATACGGTCACTCTGGGACTGACGTTTTTTGTTTTCCTGTTCTCTTCTCTATCTCTCTCTTATGATACTTCTTGAACTGGGATTGTTTTATAAATATAAAATTCTGAATACATTTTACTTATTATTATAATCAAGGAAGCGTAAGGAGGATTTCCGCGGCTTGTCTTCTCCTCTCTCCGACACACTCTGTCTCTGGTCTCCTCTCCACTATCTCTCTGTCACCATTGTAACCATTATTGTGACGTTAGGGTATATGGTAACTTTGGGTATGGGACACCACTAACCACCACTGAGCGTCTCTGGTCACCATGGTAACCCTATAGCGTCTCTGGTCACCATGGTAACCACTATTGCGTCTCTGGTCACCATGGTAACCTCTATAGCGTCTCTGGTCACCATGGTAACCTCTATAGCGTCTCTGGTCACCATGGTAACCACTATAGCGTCTCTGGTCACCATGGTAACCACTATAGCGTCTCTGGTCACCATGGTAACCACTATAGCGTCTCTGCAAGTAACCTTGGCCTGGGCACCTGGTTTTAGGTTCTTCACCCGGAACACCTGGTTTATAGCAGGTTTCTCAGGGTTAAAATGAAGCAGGTACTGGTGTTAGGTGAATGGTGTGGGTGGCATCCTGGGGACAAAATTAACTTAAGTTGTGGGAAATGCTCTACGTAACCATAAGTTGTATCATGTAGAAATTATTATACCTGGTCTAAACTTACCATCTACATTTGCTCTGCATTAACCCAGGTGCTTCATTATTATAATCAAAAGAAGCGCTAAACCACAAGGGTCCCAGGTACTTCAGCCTCCCACTTCCCTCATAGCTTTTTTTCCCAGTTCTTGACCTTTATTTACTTTCTCTTCTGATAAATTAAGTGTTCTCCTTATTTGAATAAAGGTATTATTTATAAAACACGTCTACCTTGATACCGGTGAGAGGTTCTCCCTCTCCTTGGATCTAAACTGAACCTCTTCCACTTACCCAGATGCTGTGACCCCCTGTGGGTTTAGCTCTCTCCGGTGATTAAAGGCAGTCGAGTCTTCTTGATGTGTGTAAATAGTTTAGAAAACCGACAAGTTGATAAATGAGACACTTGTGCAACATTTGGGTATCTTTATTCTGGAAATATTTCTCCAGCCAGTGGCTTCTTCAGTCCAGTGCAGAGAATGGTGGAAGATGAGGAGTTTGGGGCAATCAGTCTCTCAGTTGATGTGTTCAATCCATCAGTTTTTCAAGACTGATGGATTGAACACATCAACTCCAGGCTTTGAACTGGGGCGAGGTAGTTGTATCACGACACTGTCACTGCTGGCACTTGTAGGAAGTCAAAAAGAAACTCCCATAAAAAAGAAACTAAGAAACTGATATACAGAAATCTTTGAAAAAAAACTATTATTATTATTAGTCAAAAAAAGCACTAAGCCACAAGGGCTATACAGCTGAAGAAAAACTAAAATATAAACAATTCTTAATATGTCACATGAGTGGTGATTATTATTATTATAATCAAAAAGAAGCGCTAAGCCACAAGGGCTATACAGCACATGAGTGGTGAGAGATGTGCATTATCCTATATTCTTAGAATTATTACATAATCAGATTATTACAATAAATTATTATAATAATCAAGGGGGAAGCACTAAACCCGGAAGATTATACAGCGCCTGGGGGATGGAATGTGGAAGGCATTTTCAGGCCTTAATTCGGGGATACTGGAGCACAGATCCAATTCCCTAAATCAAGAGCCCCTCACCAACATCAAGGAACCTTCCTTGAGGGGTTATTACAATAAATTATTATAATAAAAAAGAAGCGCTAAGCCACAAGGGCTATACAGCGCTGCAGGGCAGGAAGGAAGCGAGGGCATCAGTGGCAAAAGGGTGTGGACGAGGTAATAGGGTTTACGGATAACAGGGGGCAGTGATGGCTTGAAAGGGTAAAGGGCAGCAAGAGATGATCTAGAAAAGGGCCTGGAGGGGAGAGCAAAAGGTATTCATCATCAGAGTTTTGGAGTAAATAGTCGTTGTCAAGAAAGTCAATGAAGAGAGTCAGGATTAAAGGAGGGTCATCAGCAAGAAGGGAAGTTGTAAGAGAGAGTAGTAGAACGAAGACGACGTTGGTGGTAAATTCTGCGTGCTCGTTGATAGAGAGGGCAGGTCTAACAGGAATGTGGCTAATCGATTCTGGAATTGACACTGCTCACAGAGAAGACCAGGGTGCCTCTCCATGAGATACCCACGAGTAAGACGAGTGTGGGCCACTGCGAAGCAGTGAGAGAGTGGTCTCCCAACCTCGGCATGGATGACAAGAGACGGCCATTAACCTATGCTCGGTTTAATAGAATGAAGTTTGTTAACCGAGCAGGTTGACCAACGTTGTTGCAAGGGTGTTGAAGGTGGGTAGTTATTGCAGCAATGGAACACCTCTATTGGAAATTGGTAGGTGTCATGTACTGCTGACCGCGCAGCAGGTGTCTGCCCTGTTCATTGCCTGTACGTCGACATGACGGGGACCCAACAAAAAATAATATCTTTATGTTTGGTAGAGATACGCGTAGCCAAAGTTGGGGTAGGAGAATAGGTTGAGATGTATCAAATTTCGTAATAGCCTGTAGGCAACTCAGGAGTCGTGAGACTTACCTCCAAAGATGGACACAGGCATAGATGACGTTACGATAAAGTGCTGCAAAGATGGCATACAATTCAACAGTTAAAAATGCTAGCCGATCGA